AGGAGTTTAAGGAATGTTCAGGGATGAGGTTAAGAACGTCCAGAGGATTGTTAATCATGAAATAGAATTCCAGTGGTCACATGGAAGGGCTTGTGGGTCAGAGAGGGAAGGATGTAGGAATGTGTGTCGTAGAAGAAACCAAGGCAATGAAATGAGGGTCTAGGAGAAAAATAAATTGCAGGAGGGTTGTAGGCTGTGCCCAGAGGTGGGAGGAGACTAGGCCCTTCTCTCTGGCTTTACCAGATAGTAGATGCCACATGCTCTTTCTGATTTCTGTTGGTCACTTCATTAAATGCACACACACACACGCACACGCACACGCACACGCACATGCACATGCACACAAACACACACACGGTGGGGCAAAAGTAGGTTTATAGTTCTGAGTATGTGAAACAGTTTATTCTTATGCAAAACACGAAGTTTATTTTTGTATTTTACTTATTAATTATTCTATTATTTTCCATAGGAACAACTGTAAACCTACTCTGTATATAAATATATTTAAAGAACTTTTAATAATGGTTGTCTCATAAAGGCCACCCCTTCTTAAAAATACATTCTTCCCTTGGCTCTGTGGCATTGCAAGATTCCTCCTAACAACCTCAGTCACTTTTGGGCAGACTCTTCCTCTTTGCTCACCTTTAAAATATTGGTACTCTATCATGTACCTAGGGTCATTTTCTCAATCCACTTTCTACCTAGGTGATCTCCTCTACTTTCCACAGCTTCTGGTATCATCTACAGAATTCCATCTTCGTTGGGATAAGTCCAATAGTAATATACATGTTACCATCACCATCCTCATAGCAATCTAGTAGTCCTTTTGAAAACATTCTCTCAGTAAACATTAACTTACAGAGATCACTGCTCCAATTTCTAAATGCTCACCAGCCAAGCTTTTAATAATACTCTAGAGTGCTTATGTAGGAGTTGACACAAAAGGATGGTGCTTTAGACATGATCTATCTGGATCTTAGCCACAAATATGAAGATTTCCTACTTTATAAAATAGCACTTAAGAATTTTAATACGATTCAGAATAGAACCCTATGGCAATATATAAGACTAACCTCCATCCAGAAATCAGTTCATGTACTGGGATTGTTTGATTAGTGTAACAGACATAATATGGATCCTCCTAACTGCAATATTAGTGCAAAAATACCCTTTACATATTCAGTACATCTCTGTTTTGTCCTCTAAGCTTGTGCCAATAGGTACACTTTGCCGTATGTGGAATACAAACCCAGGCACATATGTAACTGTGAAATTGTAGCATGGCAATACATGTTGAAATAATGGTCATTAAATATTTGAAAATATGCTAATAGTTTTCTTTGGATTCTGAAAATAAAAATGCAAATTTAAAAAACGTTCAGAAAATTGTGTGCCCTCTATAACACATCTGCTCATCCTCAGGGATTTGTGCTCAGTTTGGGTAAGATGACCTTGACAAACTCAAGGTTAACTGAATGTGGGCATTGAGGGCCCTCGCCGCCATTTTTAGGCCTTGTATGTGGAAAGGAAAGAAAAGCAGCTTTTGGCTGAATGTGAAATCATCTCAGATAGAACTGGATTCACAGAAAGATGATGGCTCCCCTTTAAGTGGAGACTGTGGGATCACTCACTTAGGGCTTTACAAAGGGGATTTTTTTTTTTTGGCACTATGTGAGTGATATGATAATTTTTATTTTTATTTTTATTTTTTAAAATTAAATCTTTATTGTTCAGATTATTACATTTGTTCCTCTTTTTTCCCTCCATAACTCCCCTCCTCCCAGTTCCCGCCCTACCCTCCGCCCTCACTCCCCACCCACTCTCCTCATCCATAGGTGCACGATTTTTGTCCAGTCTCTTCCCGCATCTCCCACACCCTTTTATCCCCCACGAATAGTCAG